CAAAGGCTGCATGGGACACTCTGGTGAGATGTTATGGTGGTGACGCATCAGTGAAGAAGGTGAAGCTTCAGTCCTTGAGAAAGCAATATGAGAATCTCAACATGAAGAATAATGAGAAAGTTTCTGAATACATCTCCAGAGTGATTCTGATCACTAATGAGATGAAGGCGTGTGGAGAAACGCTTTCTGAAGAAACAATCATGGAGAAGGTATTGAGATCCCTTACTCCTCAATTTGATTACATTGTGGTAGCAATAGAACATTCCAAAGATCTGAGCACCATGAGAATTGAAGAGCTGCAGAGCAGTCTAGAAGCGCAAGAGTTGCGTTTGACTGAGAGAACTTCTGAAAGGGAAGTAGAGCAGCAGGCTCTGAAAGCAACTTCTGATAGGAGGTATCAGAAGCAGTCAGAAGCCAAGAGAAGATCTGATGGTGGTCAGAAGTCAGAAAGCTCAACCTCTGATAGACAAAAGAATGCTCAAAAGGGAAAAGAGAAGTATGACAAGAAGAAGATCCAATGTTACTATTGTAAGAAGTTTGGTCACTTTGATAGAGATTGTTGGTCAAACAAGGAGAAGAAATCAGAAGAAGCAAATATAGCCAGAAGTTCTGATGACGAATCTGTGCTATTGATGGCCTCTGAATCTGATGATCTGACAGACTGGTGGTATATGGACACTGGCTGTTCAAATCATCTTACTGGAAACAAGAAATGGCTGGTTGACTTTGACTCTGAAAAGAGAACAAAGATCAGATGTGCTGATGACAAATATCTTAATGCAGAAGGTATGGGAAATGTCAGAGTGACTCTGAACAATGGGAAAATAGCATTGATTCAGAATGTGTGGTATGTACCTGGCATCAGAAGCAACCTGATGAGTGTGGGACAATTAATTGAGAAAGGTTTCTCAGTTACCATGAAGGACAATCTTCTGAAGCTGTATGACTGTAATCAGAAGTTGATTATGGAGTCAGAACAGGGAAGGAATAGAACATTCAAGGTGAATGTCAGAACTGCAGACTCAGAGTGTCTTAGTGCAACAAGTACTGAGAAGGAGAGTGAGCTGTGGCACAGAAGATTTGGTCATTTGAATTTCAGAAGCTTACAACATCTGAATTCAAAGAAATTGGTACATGGAATTCCTGCAATTAAGAAGCCTGAAAAGTCATGCAAAGTTTGCATGGAAGGAAAACAACCAAGATTGCCATTTGCATCAGAAGTTGCTCCAAGAGCAAAACATGCCTTGGGAGTTGTACATTCTGATGTGTGTGGTCCATTTCCAGTAGCATCAATTGGAGGGAATAAATACTTTGTGTTATTTGTTGATGAATTCACAAGAATGACATGGGTATCCCTTATTAAGTTTAAACACGAGGTGTTTGATGAATTCAAGAAGTTCAGAATGAAGGCTGAGAATCAGAGTGGTCAGAAGTTGAAGATTCTTAGAACTGATGGTGGAGGTGAGTATAACTCCAAAGAGTTCCAGAAGTTCTGTGAGGAGAATGGAATTGAGCATGAGGTTACTGCTCCTTATACCCCTCAACACAATGGTCTTGCTGAAAGAAGAAACCGTACTTTGCTTGATATGGTGAGAAGCATGCTAAAGGAGAAGAAGCTTCCTCAGAAGCTCTGGGGAGAAGCTGTTGCCACTGCAACGTATGTACTCAACAGATGTCCTACGAAGAAGTTGAAGGAGATAGTTCCTATGCAGAAGTGGACTGGAGACAAGCAAAGTGTTAGTCATCTGAAGGTGTTTGGTTCTGTTTGCTATAAACATGTTCCAGAAGCCAGAAGACAGAAGCTGGATGATAGAAGCAAAGTGATGATTCTGATAGGGTACCACAGTACAGGTGCATACAAGCTCTATTGTCCAGAAACCAATAAAATTGAATTCAGCAGAGATGTGATTGTGAAGGAATCAGAAGTTTGGAATTGGGATAAGTCTCAATCTGATTCTGATGTTAGAACCTCTGAAGAAAGGTCAGAGTTAAGAATTTCTGAAGTTGAAGTAAACCCTGATATTGACTCTGACTCTGATACTGATTCAAACTCTGAAGATGACTCAGAAGATGAAGGTGACTCTGATGACCCAGACTCTGATAATTCAGACTCTGATGGCAATCCAGATCTTGGTGGCAATTCAGACTCTGGAGATATGCCAGACTCTGAAGATGGTCAAAGCTCTGGAAGTCAATCATCTGAAGCTAGAAACTCTGAAGCTCAAGACTCTGAACAAGTTCAGAGACCACAAAGAATCAGAAGCGTTCCCAGAAGATTTGCAGAATTTGACATGCTGCAAGACACTGAAGTAGACTCTGAAGGAGAAGTTATTCAGTGTGCCATGTTAGTAGACTCTGAACCTATAAGTACAGAGGAGGCTCTTAAGCAGAAGCTCTGGCTGAAGGCCATGAAAGAAGAACTTGATGCTATAGAGAGAAACAAGACTTGGAAGCTGACAGAACTTCCAAAAGACAAGAAAGCCATCAGCGTCAGATGGGTTTTCAAGCAGAAGTTAAAGCCAGATGGCTCAATTGGCAAACATAAAGCAAGGTTGGTAGCCAGAGGATTTCTACAGAAACCTGGGCTGGATTATTCTGAAGTATTTGCACCTGTAGCAAGACATGAAACAATCAGAATGGTGATTGCAATAGCTGCTAACAGGAATTGGCCTCTGATGCATTTAGATGTAAAATCTGCATTTCTGAATGGTCCATTAGAAGAAGAAGTTTACGTGTCACAACCTCCTGGATTTGTGAAAAAGAATCAGGAAGGGATGGTGTACAGATTATACAAAGCTCTATATGGATTGAAACAAGCGCCCAGAGCTTGGAATCAGAAGATTGATTCATTTTTCAAGAAGCAAGGCTTTCAGAAATGTGAGATGGAGTACGGTGTCTATGTTCAGCATACTTCTGAAGGCAATATGACTCTGGTATGTTTATATGTTGATGATATACTATTGACTGGAAGTTCTGAACATGAGATAGCCAAGTTCAAGAAGGTTCTAATGAATGAATTTGAAATGACTGATCTAGGCAAAATGACATACTTTCTAGGGATGGAGTTCAGATATTCTGAGAAAGGTATCATTTTGCATCAGCTCAAGTATGAATTAGAACTTCTGAAGAGATTTGATTTGAAGAATTGTAAGATGGCTGTCACACCTTCTGATACAAATCAGAAACTGGATTCAGACTCTGAAGGAAAGGATGTGGATGCTACAACCTTCAAACAGTTGGTTGGTTCTCTGAGGTATCTGTGCAATACCAGACCTGATATTTGCTACTCAGTTGGGATGGTTAGTAGGTTCATGAGTAAACCTAAGTGGTCCCATTACCAAGCTGCTATCAGGATTCTGAGGTATATCAAAGGAACTCTGAAGTATGGAGTGTTATTTCCCTCTGGAGGAAATAATGAGTCAGAACTTCTGAGTTATTCAGACTCTGATTGGTGTGGAGACAGAGTTGACAGAAGAAGTACATCTGGGTACTTGTTCAAATTTCTGGGAGGTCCCATTTCTTGGTGTTCCAAGAAGCAACCTGTTGTGGCGTTGTCAACCTGTGAAGCTGAATACATTGCAGGTGCTGTTACTGCATGCCAAGCTGTGTGGATTCTGAATCTGTTGCAGGATCTGAAGATTAAAGTAAACAAACCTCTGAAGCTGATGATTGACAACAAGTCTGCAATCAATCTTGCCAGAAACCCAGTGTTGCATGGGAGAAGCAAGCATATTGAGACCAAGTATCATTTTCTGAGACATCAAGTTCAGAGTGGAGTGTTAGAAGTTGTACACTGCAGCACTCAGAAGCAGTTGGCAGATGTTCTGACGAAAGCTATCAAGACTGATCAATTTCTCAGATTAAGGGATGGAATTGGTGTTACAAGTTTTGATGGAATATGAATTAAGGGATGGTATTAGTAATAATTCATATTTTATTATATTATTTTCTTAAGCCCATAAGTTTGTTAGAGGGTATTTTAGTATTTTATCTTATTCTAGTAACCCTAGTTTTAGCTTATAAATAGGGTGACAATCATTGTAACTCTTAATCCTGTTTCTTCTGCCGTCATTCTCTTTAATAGAATATTTCCCTATTTTCATTATTCTATCTTTGCACCAACAGAAGTGTGCATTGGTTAGATGAATGTTGTTTGGTTCTAAACAAAAGTTATGTGTGGAAATGGTTAAGCAAATGACCTGGCGCAAGGAGAGAAGGCAAAGGGTAGTATGGTACTTTCCGGAACAATTTATCTTTTATATTATAGATATTGAAATGAAGATACAATATTAGAACTTAGAGAATTTGTCACAAGGCGGGCAATTGCTCACAAGACTTTAAATTTGTTATAGTTAACATGTGGTTAAATAGAATTTCATAAAATATTTATAATAATTAAAAAAATAATTAGATATGACTTTTATTTGTTTTTCCATAATTAAATTATAATTAATTCACACAGAATCTCCAAAAAAGTTGAGGCGACTCTGCTTAACTCTTACAAGTTATATGTTGTTCTTATGAATTGTGTCTATATTTCTGATTGAATTTTATGATCGGGCCTTCTTCTTAAGCCCTCATGGTGAGCCCGAGACATTATTTGTGTTTCAATTTTTATTTAATTATTTATTTCTATTTAAATGACAATTGTCAATAATGTTAGATCAAGTTTTATATATGTTTTATACCTGTGTGTGTGATTTTTGTAATTATATTATCCTTTCATCATTAAGAAATAGATATCACATTCATTTATTAGTTATTGTGAGTCAACCAATTATAATTCAGTCAAGAAACGTACATCTTTTTTAATCATCAAGGTACTTACAAAGTTAGTTGCATATTTAAAATGATAGTGCGCTTTTTCTTTTATAAATGAAAAACAGTAAAGTTCTCTTCGTGGAACTCATGCAAGCATAGTTTATAAAAAACAAAAAGTATAAAGGAAGTTGAAAGTGTTCTTCACTACAGACACAAGCAATATACTCAGTAAGCAAATAATGAAGTTTGTTTTTTCATTTCTATTCTTTCTTTTCGCTTTCATCACCAATCTTTCACAAACTTTCTCATATGATGATGGTGTACCAATAATTGACACAGGTTTGGTTGCCGTTCACCCATATAGTCGTTACTTCATTGTCCCGTCATTTTTCGGCATCCGTAGTGGCAGACTAAAACTAGTAAAAACTGGTGATTCAAACTGTCCAGTTACTGTCCTAGAAGAAGATTTCACTAGTGATAGAGGTACATCGGTGAAATTCAGCATAATAGGAACAAGCTATGATATCTTGACAGGTACACCAATTGAGATAGAGTTCACAAAGAAGCCAGATTGTGTTGAATCATCAAAGTGGTTGGTGTTTGTTGATAAAGCTATTCAAAAATCTTGTGTTGGTATTGGTGGACCTGAGAATTATCCTGGTATGGAAATATTGAATGGCACATTTAATATTCAGAAATATGGTGGTGGTTTTGTATATAAGTTTGTGTTTTGTGTTGATGGATCTAATACTTGTTCGGATATTGGGTGGTTTAATAACGGTGAAGGTGGAGGACGTTTGATTTTGACTAATTATCAGATTTCTGCTTTTGTGTTTTTTGAGACTTGGGCTTATCAAGATGGAGGAGTTGTTAAGTCTCTTGCTTGAATTTTGAGTATGTAACTTTTAGAATGTAAGCATTTAATAAGTTTTTTTACTCAATTTAATAAGTTGAATAATATAATGTTGTTGTTGTTCGTATATTTCCTTTAATTTAATAAAAAGTTCTAGGATCTCAATTTCTAGCAATCTTTTATGAAGATTAAAAGACAACTTAAACTTAGGCTCATCTAAACACTAGTTTAAACTTAAAACCTCAAACTTACGACTCACACTAACTTTATCTTCAGAGTGTTTGTATGTGCACCACTACCGTGCGTGAATGTTTTACAAAGAACAACATACTCGATTAAATCACTAGATCTACGATTATCAAATACATGTGAGAACTCATTATTTGTGAGATATTTAGCCTTTACTACTTGATTTTACTTTGTGTTATCAAGTTTTATTAAGTTAAACTGAGTAGGCTTTGTTGTTTTTAGCTTAATTGGTATGGAACACACTAGATACTCTCTTTTGTGAGTTTTATATGTTTGTTACTTGTGTAGAATTACTCTGGTGATAAGTTCTAGCACGACAGAAAGACAATTTAAAGACAACCTCACTTTCCATCATACCTTAGAGTTAACACTTCCACATAAACTTTCATGAACTTCTCCCAAGACTAGACGTACCTCCTCCTCTACTAAGCATATTAACATTAGTATGGATCGTGTTGGATAACTTCAAGCACATGAGGGAGGAGGTGAATTGTGGTATTTTCACAATTATTTTTATACATTTCTAGATTAAGATCATGTTAATAGTTTTGTATGAGCGAATTATAGAGGAAATAAAAAGTAAAAGTAAATAGCATAAATTAAAAGGATAGAATTTGAAAGATTACACCTGAGATTTGTACTAGTTTGGTCGAATGTTGGCTAGTCATGTCTCCAAGAGGTGTTCTTGAGAGTTTGACTATAAACTTTGAGCTTTTGAAGGTTACGCCCATAAACCTTTATACAAGTTCACGTTGATGTTTTTACAGACTTATCTCCAACCACAAATAGCTTTTACCACAGACTAAGCTAAAACCTTCTTAGAGATTTTCAAGCTGATCTCAATAATCAAAAGCATATTATTTTCTAGCAAAACTCAATAAACCAAAACATATACTTTTAAGACTGGTTTATCTCACGAACCAAACATGATCTTCTCAAAAGTATCACAATCTCAATAATTAAAAAAATAACACGATCACTTACCAAAAGTTCTTCCTCACAAGCCAAGTTTCACTTATAAGTGTAGTTGTATATCCGTAATACATTCAGGGGGAGTACCCTAAGACGGTGGATTTGTTGTTTGTCTTATCGCTTTCGTTTTCATTTACTTTTGTTTATTGAGCCTCCTTCATAATTTTATGTCATCTCTGAATCAAGCTTTTGAAATGATTCGTTTTTAGCATGCACAAAATCAATGGTTATATTTGAACTTGATCATGATGCTTTTAGTCAATTCCATGAGTCTATGGAATAAAAATCATGGGTGTTATTGGTTTAACTTATATGGAAAGAAAAATCTCAAATTCTTTTGAAAACCATGAAAATTTGAGATTTTGTGTACTTGATTCGAATCATGTATATTCCTTGACTTTAATCGAATTAAACAAAGGAAAATCAAAAAATTTTCAAACACTCTGACTCGAATCGAATCAAAATTTTAACCTGATTCGAATTAAACGACTTTGTGATTTGAATCAAAAGTTGCACTTAATTCAAATATGGTTGATCAGTGTTACCTCTTCTTCATTTGATTCGAATCAGACTTTACACCTGGTTCGAATCAGACATTTTTCTTCATATTTCTATTTTCGCTATGGTTAAAATGGTTTAAATAAGTGTTTACACTTAATTCAAATCACGGGTATTCTGATTCAAATAAAACTTTATACTTGATTCAAATAAGACACTTTTACAAAACCATTGTCATCAACCCTTTAAGTGGAATGATGATATTGTTTAGTTTCATTTTCTATGAATGTTTTATTTTCACTAACACTATTGTGTAGAAAATCATAGTTTTTTCCAACTACATTGATATGCCTCTATAACTCTTGTATTCAATTATATACCATTGTGTGTGTTTGTTCTATATATGTTTATTGGTTTGCTTATTACCTTTTTTATTTTGCTCATTCATGTCTTGCAATTGCTTTTGATTGTTCTTCTTTGCATTCAAGTCTTTTCAATGTCTATTACTAAGTATGTGCATTTGATCATTTGTATACTTGTTCATGCATTATTTATGTTCTTAATGCACTCCTTTACATAATAGTTTTTATCACTTAATTGTATGTTGAATGTTGGTGTTGCATGTCTATTTGCATGTAACATGTTTATCTTCATATTATGTATCTGATCTTTGTTGTTGTATATTCTTGTTATCAATTTATCTCATGTGTTCATCTGTAATTATTTGTTTGTGGTTTGTTATTTGGTTTTTAGACGCATTTCAACCTATCTCTTTTTGATGTTGCCAAAGGTGGAGAAATTGTCATGTGAGTCTAGAAATTTTTATGCATTTTATGATGTGGTTTGTGTGCAATGTTTCAAGGGGAGCATGAACATTTTTGCTTTTGTCTCAAAGTCAACTCAATTCCATGTGAAAGATTGTCAAGTATCAAAAAGGAGGAGAGCATAGTTACATATCCCTAATACATTCAGGGGGAGTACCCTAATATTGTGGTATTATTGTTTGTCTTATCGCTTTCGTTTTCATTTACTTTTGTTTATTGAATCTCCTTCATAAACATTTTAAGCTGTAATATTCAAGAAGCATGAATTGAGTAAATATTATGCAAATGAGTTTCGCATTACGCCATATACAAGTCAAGATCCAGATAAGAGATTTATTTTTCTCAGCATTATTGTGGATTAGTGATTGTATGAACTCTTGCAATATTTGTTAAAGTATAGAGGAACAAAGCAGGTTCCAATGGAAAACCCTTGAAGAATACAATAGGAAAAGCCATTGAAGAGTGCATTAGGAAAAACGAGGACGAACTCCAGAGCACTATAAATCATACTCTCTTTCTCTTTTTCTTTCTCTCTCTCTCTCTCTCTCTCTCTCTCTCTCTCTCTCTCTCTCTCTCTCTCTCTCTCTCTCTCTCTCTCTCTCTCTCTCTCTCTCTCTCTCTCTCTCTCTCTCTCTCTCTCTCTCTCACCCTTGCATTTAATTTTCATGGATATTTCATGCTTAGGTATTTTAATTTTAGTGTACTTTATTGTTTATTCAATTGGTAGTGATCTATTACGTAAGGTTAGGTTTTGTTAGAATTAGTGCCTAATCGAGATTTAGTGGTGATTAAATTCCGAGAAAACGTTGAGATTAGAATTTATTGATATTGAATAGTTGTATAAACAAATGTTGTGGAATATTCAACTAAATCAATAGAATACCTTTGTGTATCATCATAAAGCCATCCATTTTTATTTGTAGATTGATTAACGGTTAACGTGATTGAGTTCTAATAAAAGTATAAACTTCATATTTTCGTTTCAAACCTTCTGCAATCTGTCGCGGTGAAATTTGGATACCAAACTATTAATTAGTTTGAATCTTTTATTCATTTTGCAACCGAACTTTGATTTGTCCAAAGGAAGGGATAAAGATCGAAATTCCCACAATGCAATGCAAATGCATGGTTTAGAGAGTTATAGGTTCGGGGGTTGGTTAAACTTAGGGAAGGTACTAGCATCCTAAGTTTCTGTAGTACTCTACAGGAACCTCTTGTTTTATGTTTATTTATTGCTATGTGTTTATCTGCTAAAGGTATAAAAGACCTAGGGGTTTATTTCTAAGTATACTCGATAAGATATCGCATCTTATGCCTACATATCCTTACGGGAGTGGAATCAGAGTATTTTGTAGTTCTCCTAAAGGGTTAGAGGAGTTCTTTGAATGTGGTCAAAGTTCCTACGGGTTTAGGGTAGTCGATTGATTGATTTTAGGAGAAAATGTGCGTTGTCATTTTAAGGGAGATATAACCGCCACAGGTTGTAGGAAAATAGTCTTTGCATCGTCTTAAGAAAAGGGCTTAGGTGCTCGGATTGTTTGACAAGTATGCCTTTATTTCTCTTAAGGCAAAGTCCCTACGGCTTGATTGTATTGTTGTGGGGTGGAGATTCCATCTCGCTTAAGATGATTTGGCATCTTTCTCTAATGTGTTTGAATATTGTATTGTGTTGAATTGATTGTTTGAATATTGTTGTAGTATTGAGTGAGTTTGTATTGTGTTTAATTTGTTGATTGTTTTGTTTATGTTGTAAGATAAAGGTCCTTCCTATAGGATAGGATCTAACTTAGAGATCATCTTGAATGGGATCAAGGATCGAATGGGAGAATGATGCAAATGTGAATGCGCCACACACAATTGTTGAATCATGTGTAGGGTTTTCCTTTGGACGGAATGCAATACGAGAATGATAGATACGATAATTGTAAATTGCAGAAGGTAAAGCATACACACGCATGAAAGCGCTAAGTGTGTGAATTGTGAATGTGCGAGTGGAAGTGTACACGATTGGATTAAAGTTGGGAGTTGATCAGGGAGAGTTTGACCTTAAGAGGGAGGTTGAATTGATTTTAAGAAAAGTTGACCTATTTGATTATATTCAAGAGAAAAAGTTATATTAGATTTATTAGATTATAAATTAACTAGATCTCTAAAAAGGATAAATATAGATTTTTGAGAAAAAATGTTTTATTATTAAATATGGTTTTTTTTTAGTTATTATCAGAAAAGTCAAATTAAAAAAAAAATGTTATGTTTAAGTTATTTATGAAAATAGGTTTTTATTATTATATATGCAAATTAGCAAAATATTTTAGCAAACAAAAATTTATTAAGAAAATACACAAATAGATTAAGTGAGTGGATTTTTATAAAAAAAGTTATTATCATAAAGCTATCATAAATAGAAAAAAAATTATTTGATTTAATGTTATTAATACATTTTTATTAAATAAAAGTTGGTGATTATAAAATTTATTTAACTCAAGAGAAA